TAAAAAGTGTTTCTTGTTGTGTTCTAATACATTTTTGACCATTAAATTGAAACTACTCACTCCTAAGAGACATAAGACTTCACTCACACTAATGTCAAGCAACTTTTAAAATCAGGGTGGAATGTAAAATGGCTTGTGAAACTCAACGATGATGTAGTTATATAGAAATAAGGACAGAAATTTTGAAGTTTTTCTTGTACTGGTTAGTGGGACACGCTCATTCTAGTCTGAAAAGATTGGAAAAAATGTCAGCTTATATCAAAGAGGACTGACGTTTGGTCTAGCCATGATGTTAGCACACGGCTCGATCATGTCACTCACTGTTTCTGCAATTCCAGGCTAAATAGGTTTCCGAAAGAGGTTTGCACATTTATTGTTGGACATAACAGTATATGCTTGAATTGAATCAATGTCATCATTTCAGCCAAACAAAATCAAACACAAGCACATTCACCTGAGGCAGGGGCTCCCTGCTGAGCTACCACTGTTACCACCACCACACTCCACCTGTAACAAGCTCCTCCAAGTCTCTGGCTCACTCTGTAGCCCCCTCACGCCTGCAGCAAGTCTGGGTAGGTAACATTGTTTCTCTCTAATAGTATCTCTTGGTCTCTCAGCCTCATAAAAAGAATTATTATCAGCTCTCTTAAAAATCATCAAGCACAGATGTAAAAAGGCTCAAGAGCATGAAATTGTAGCTACTAAAGGGTGTACTTATGCAACACTAGGGTGTGATTCAGGCCTCAAATAGCCAGAGCCATTGAAGAAAGACACTATTGCAGCGCGTGACAGAGACAATTGAAAAAAAAAAGCAAAGAGGAGAAGAAGAGGGAAAGAACAAAATGTGAAATGGAAAGGGTCAGAGAAAGACAGCATTTTATGCCACATATGTAATTCTGCAGGGTTTTGTTTTATTTTCTCAAAGCACGTTCCCTTACTGACTCGTGCATCAAACAGCGCGACAACAGAAAGCTTACCATGTTGACGGCTTATCTCCTACTTTCACCTCCTAAAAGCAATAAACACACACAGAGCAAGTGGAAGATGGGAAATGCACAACAACAGAAGATGGCTCTTCAGGATCAATGCCACTACAGCTTTCCCTGTCTTTTTTTTTTCATCTTCCAGGTCCTGTCCGAGAAACAGAAACAGTCTAAGGCTGTTGACGGAGCTATGGATTATCCTGTATGCATGGAATGACCGATGTGAACAGAGTCTGAAGCATGAAGGACACCGATCGTGTCAGCCAAGGCAAAGGCATATTACAACAGAGCGCAGACCTCAAGGACTCAAGTAGATTAAAACTGATTGAAATCCCATTTGTGGCATTTGTGGTCTGTTCTGTCAGCATCCCTCCCCGCCCGTCACCCTCCACCCGCTCTCTTTTTCAATGTTCCCAAAGTGAGCCGAGTGTGAGTCTGAATATAAAACAAATAAGATTGCATTTGTGGAGACAAGCGCCTCAAATTTGCATGGCAATAATATCAAGCTGTGAGATTTTGTAATATGAACAGCAATAAAGAAGTGTGTGTTTGTGTGTGCTTGAGCGCTTGTGTGTCTGTGTATGGGTGTCAGTTTTTTGACAGGAAACAACGTGACATTATGGAAGGAAACTGATAAATCACTATGTGACAGAAAAATATGTACACAGATGTGCATCTGCGTACGGGCATGCTCGAAACCAAACATTCAATTCAGTCACACATGCATGTACACACACCTTTAACCAAATACAAAAACGCACCATCATGCGTTTAAAATGCTTGATGCTTTTATTTTAGTTAGCAGAAGATTTCAAATCTCAGGTTATTTAGGGGATTTAGGGATTATTATGTAGGTTGTTTTATTATGTTGTATAAAGCTTTATAATGGCTGGCAGGAGGCACTGCCTGCAAAGTCCCCTGTGTGCAGCAATTGCCACATATTGCATGCAAAATCATCAGCTGTGTGTTAATTTTAATTATTTTAAGATCATAGTAAAATCCTCCTGCACAGATGCGGGTATATGCTGTTTACCTGCAAAATGAACCACTAAACCTACATGCAGTGCATACAGATACATACCTTGCTTTTGTGGATTTACTATAAGTTGTTACATTTACTGCAGGCCTATCCTCTCTAATTTGGGGAGGAGGATAGATCTGAGTCTACAGTACGTAACACTGATTGCAGAATTTTTACATCTATAGCTACAGTATGAAGAAGAAACAGGAAGACTGAGGGGAAAATCATCACACTTTACATAGGTAGGAATTCTAGTTTATTTTAGTTGCAAAAGCAAAAATGCAGTAAAGCCTAGAGCTTTCAACAGAGTACTTAATTGCTTAATGGTTAAATAAATTATGCATATAGGATAAGTAATTACACACCTAAATACAATGGTCAAAACAGCTTCTTCATGCTTTGTGTTGAGCACTTCGAATTGAAATGTGCTTTGAAAAGGAAAAAAGTTCCATGACACAGTGTTCCCCTGTTAATGTATGTAGCGCATATGCACACTATCGGTCTTCTTTTTTTTTTTTTCAGTAGTTGGTTATACCTGGCATCCACCTCCACGGGTCTCTTGAGGCAAGCTGATAAGCTTAAGCTCTCTTCAATAAGAGTCATATCTAGCCTACACAAAATGCCACCATGCGCCATGGAGTCCACGTTGTGACAAATACTTCCTGATGTTATCAAGATACTGAGGATTTATGAAACATGCATACCGCTTATTTAATGGCAAAAGTGAAGTGCCTCCACAGCGCGAGCGGTTATGTCAATAAGATCGGAACTTCCTTGAAACGAAACACGCGCAGCTCAGTGTGAAGCAGTTTAGCCACAGGAAGAAAATGATTTTGGAGAAAGACCAGATTTCGAATGTCATGTTGACTCCTGTCTGCTGAACAAATTGGTATTAACGTTCAGTCCATTTAAACACGGTTCAAAGCCGTCTCTTCATGAGATCAGCAGGTAAAAAACAGTCAAACAGAGCACTGAGGATATGTAGCTCCTCTAACCAGGCATACAACTGTGAAGGCACAGTTGAAAAACAGGCAAAACAAGACATCCACAGTTACAGTTCACTGCAGGTCTTTCTTGATAATAGAGCCATTTGTTCTGCCTTCACCTGAGCACACAACCTCCCCTCCCTCAATGTGTAGAGGCCACATCATGAGAGAGAGTAAAAGGCCATGGGGCTGCAGTGAAGATACCTCATTTCTTAAAATTCTTTGAGATGTAATGGAGCCAGAATGGTGATAACGAGAAAAAGCTTCGAGATGACCAAGCTCAAGCTTCCCCTCGTTAAATAAATGTATGCGAAGATATCTGGGCAACAACTAATGAGCCCTTTTCTACTGTAAACAACCATTAAGTTTCTTTTCTTTGTAATGATCATTTCTCTCCCTTTTGGCTGTCCATTGAAAACTATGCATTTACCATCTGAAAACACATTGTGAGCACTTAGCATTTAGGGGATGTTTTAGTTTAGTTATGCTGATATTTTGGAGAGCTTTTTGCAAGGTGAGGATTCTTAATCTTTTATTCAGGAAATGCAGAGATTATGTGTTGTATCTCAGTAATAAAAAGTTCAGTTATGTCAAGATTTGTAATAACAACGCTTACAGTGATGACTTCCCACTTGAAATATGAATGTTAGCATTTTTCTTCGTGTAATTGCTGCAGCTGACTTTGCTATTTCTATGCTACTGAGCTCAGTGAAACACAGTTGGCTTTTTACTCAACTGGATAAGGAAACTACTGCCCGACTATATAGGATTGTAAGGACCAATATCTGGTGATGTAAAAATCTGATGTATCAGCCAAACTTCTTTTCTTCAGAAACACAAAATATTAAAACATTTCTCCAACATTTGTATGCATAGTTATTTATGGGTCCTTACTAAGATGATTTAACAATGCAGTTCATATTTGATGTCAACATGAAAGTTGCAGACGATCTTCTGGCAGACAAAATATGCAAAATCAACACTTGTAACATTGTTAACCAATGTTTCTAACGTCTTTTTATATTTTTATTAATCAGCTATTGCAAATTGCTTGTCAAATAGCTAATATCGGTTCTGCTTATATCATGTAGCTACTTGTATTTGTTTAGAATAACTGTCTCTAAGTCTCTGACAGTCAACATTAAGAATTCCTTCATCTGCAAGATGTCTGCACGTATTACACTCTCCCAGAACATTTCAGTGTATTTAGATTTTTGCATCACCGTAGAGTGACAGAAATTTACATGACCACTAAATAGCCTCCACTCGGGGCATTTTCCAGAGTTTGGCTTTATCTTGTGCAACTGTATAAAATGTTCTCTTTTTTTGAAATTGCAGCTCATATCAGCAGATAACCACAGATGTCGACTTCAAATTGCTTGATCTAAAGATGACAGTCTTATTATTTTGGATCTTATTATTAGGATAAAGCAGCCTGAGAAATTAAGCAAGCACTCACATTTAGAGAGCTTAAAGCAGCTTTCATTTTTGCTTCCAAATGACAAATGTTGCTTTTCTTCTCTATTAATAATATCAATAACAATAAGAACTCTGGTTGGACTAAAACTGACATTATTACACAGGAAGTGCCACTCTTCCATGAAAAATAAGTCCATCTGTTGGTGAGGGATTTAGAAACACCCCTGGAGCTTCTTCTTCTTCTTTTTTTTTTTTTAAAGATGAAACAGAAAAAAAGATTTAGTGCAGGTTTTACTAACATAAAGAAAGCCCTGTGATCCACTTTGCTCCACACTGTAGGTTTATCCACCTTAAGCCCTAACTAAAAAACAGCGAAAATCTAGCTGCCCCGAGACTGTTGATGCAGTTTTCTACGCTTGGATATGGCTTAATTTTACATTCAATTTTCTTTACATGCTTCAAGGAAAACACAATTCAATGTAAAAGCCAAACAACCCGGAGGAAAATCGTGTTCATGTCTGAGTAGTTTTCACTCTTAATGACAGCAAAGCTAAGTCAGAATCTACCCCTGCCCCTGCCCCTCTCTCTTACCGTCCACACAGGCGGGTCTAGCTCTTGTAGTTCCAGCGATCTGGCCCTTCTTACAGGCACAGCGGGCCGTCTGCCTGGCGATGGTCCGCCGTGGTTGGCTGCTGTCCCTGTCCAGCGTCACAATCTCACATGTCCCCGCTGCCAGCTGGCCTGGAAATGACATTGCACCACAGGACACGAGGTCAGAAAGATGAAATCATAAACAGGGCAAAATAAATGACTCTGTCTCTTCTGTTAAATTTGTGTTATGTTGTATGTTCAGCAGTGTAGAACTTTTTTTTAAATCCTTGGTAGCTCAGCTGACAGGGCAGCAGGTTAACAATAGCTAATTTGTAGTGTCAGGTCTTATGAGAACAACTAGTGCATGTGTGCATTCTGAAATGTCCTTATCTTTAGCAAAGACTCTAGACACATTAATATGCATGCTAAGATCATTTAACCTCAGAAAGGTAAGACTCATTGTGCTGTACCGGTTGTATCCTGGAAAGTAGATGCTTTATTCCCCTGCTGAAGTACAGGCAGGTGTGATTTCAGTGCTGGGTTTAATAAAAGCTAGAGAGGAGTAAGAGCAAGGTTCAATGATGGAGCACATCCAGGTTCTTCTATTTACATTTACAAGACAGAGCACCGGCCTTGGTGAAAGTGTGCACCTCTTGATGTCCTTTTAATTGCTCACGAATTCAACTTTCTTTTTCTAAGAGACGTTGCGGTGTCTAACTTGAATAAACAGATTGGAGATGTGAAAGGGCTAGATGAAAAATCTACTTTCCTTTAACTGATTTTAACCACATCAGCAGGAATACCATTTTTGCCTCTTTCACCGTGAAAGCGATTTGCGTTCATTAAGGTTTGACAGGCCTGAGATCCTTAGCCCTCGACATCTCCACTGGAACCGCTCACAAGCCAGCAGAGGGACACTGTAATGGGGCTGACTTTAAAAGACAATGGTGGAGAAATTACTTTTAAATTTCAGCCACCTAAAGACTACCCATGAGCTATTTCCCATTAAGGGCCACATCCAATCAGTGCACCTCTTTGAAGGTAATGTTCCCATTACCCATGAATAAAACGCATGAATACTGATGAACTTTGTAATTGCTGCCAAGCCCCACTGTCTTACACACAGACATATCCTTCCATGTATTCAATCAGGCGACCTTTGGCCTTGTAGCTGGGCCCTTGCTGCTCGCAAATTAACCTTTATCTGTGTGTGGAGGCCCTCGGATGCCATCTTGGAGAGGCTTATCGGGATCTAATTGTGATTGGCAAGAGGATGGAAGTTGTGATTAAATCTGGACTTGAGTCGCGAACACTTGGGTGGCTAGCTTAATGAACTGAGCGGCGAGGGGTCACACCCAGGGTAATGGGGATCTATCAGGATTCATCCACATGCAGGTACCTGCGGTGGCCATGGTCACACACACTGAGAACACGGCTGTGTGCATATAATATTTAGCTTGCTATACTCTTACATGTGCTATTTGAATAATATGTCTATGGATATAGGTTTGCATGTGTTCAGTACCTTCAAACGTTGATTAAGTAGCATTATGCTGCACTTTAATTAATATATTTATATAAGAAGACAGATATTCAAAAATTAATTGATGTAACAAAACGTTGTCTCTGAGAATTAGACAGAGCTGTAGTGTTTTAGCAATGGGTAAGGGTTCAGACACATGGATCCGTTACTCAAACAAATTCCTGGAATTAATCTTCTCACTGGTGATACCTGAAACAACACACCCCTACCAGTCACGGACATTCTTCAGTTTAATAGTTTAACCTTTTAATAATTTAATTATTCTTCTTTTGTTTCACATTTTTGTGTGTTTTGCTGACACCAAAAAATTATATCCCAAACGAGTGAAAACAAGCTTAAAACATCTCCTGACATATTTTCTGCTGAAACAGGCCAAATTATTTTGGCAGAAGTGCTACTTCTGTCCAAAATGTCAGAAACACAGTGTGAAAAATGCTTTGCAAAACTACTGCGACTGCTTCCAAGGAGCTGGCAGGTCACTGATAAACGAATGCAGAATTAGCTAACCCACTTGGAAAAGTAACACAAATTTGGTATTTGCCCAGGCAGATGCATTTGATGGTTCACTTGTCAAATATAGGGTCAAAGTAAAAGTACTGTACTCCAATAAATGTCAAATTAAGTACCAGATCAAAGTGGCCAATTATTTCAACTACTTTATCGATGTAATTAAGAACAGCACCCATCATTACCCATGTCCACCTATATTGTCTGTGTGTCTGTTTGTGTGTGCATGCAGCCAGTTACCAGGCGTTATTGGTATACAATTTATTATATCTATAAATACAACTCTACAAAGAAGACAGGAGATGTGATTAGAGATGTGCAGAAAGATAAATTAACACAAGATGCCTTTGCTCAGAAAGGCATGCCAACAAAATTCACTGTCTGAAATGTTTTGCAGTGAGATGAAGCGCCCCTTCCCCATCGAAACACATACACACACACACACACACACACACACACACACACACACACACACACACACACACACACACACTCGCTCTTCTTCTCTTTCATGCCTTCTTACTTAACATACCTCTTGCATCTATTCTATCTTTAATGCCTGATGTCGGATAATGATGTCTGAACTGCTGTATGTGTATTTACATCTATGCGCATCTTAATGCTACTCACTGCCTTCTTCCTGCTTCCTCTTTTGGAACTCTTCCATCGCAAGACGCTGGACAGACTGTTTAGATCTGTCTTATGCAATCTTGTGAATCACTGTGCCACCGAGTTACCATGTGCGAAGTCAACAAGTTCAGAGACTGTGGCTGATTTGACGCTGCGATCCTCTGTTGTTGGTCTATTTTGAGTCGATGGAGCTCATTAATTGACTATGTTTCATCAAACAGGGGTCTTGCTCTTGCCACCACAGCTGTAGCTGTCAGGAAACTGAATTAATATCTGTTTTATGTTGTTGTCTTGCCGTGTAAAGTATACTACTTCTTGGTATGACGATGAATCTTCACATTTTAAACTGAGGTTAAAACGAAACAGTTCCTTACTCACATTATGAAGCTAAATAGGACAGAGAAAAATATTTCATGTTTTATTTAAATGTAGATTTTTGAGCTGCTGACACTGATCTTAACTGTTGGATTATATACCTTTAAAACTTTGAAACAGACCTTTAAACTGGTCAGGAATTGCTTGGCAACAACTGGTCGCTAGGATAAAATGAGTAGTCCTTGAGCAGCTTCAAGGACTTCAAGTGTTTGCTGGAGGTTGCTAAAACTGATGACTAAAGCTTGATTTAGACTTCCCACTTAGACTGTGGCAAACCAACTTACATACTAACTGCAAGCTCTTTTTATTCCTACAGTGCAACTTTCCACACCATTTAATTTGTTGTGGTATGCGTCGACGAGATGTGTAGTTACATTTCTCAGGAGGTGCATTTCAGGTTGCATAGAAGCTTGCAGCATAAATTTAAAGGGGTTAAAGCGTAAGTTACAACTTAGATCTGACACATTCATATGTAAGCCCCAATCACACATGGAGTAAAGACCGGTCAGTAACTCCACGGTAACCACTGGTTGCCAAGAAAAAAATGTGTATCCCCCAAATCTAAAATTCTTTGCTGTTGCTAGGTGACATTGGCCAAAACGAGCTAGTTGAAGTTGCTAGTTGTACTGAAAACCTTGCAATTGTTTTGGTTGCTAGCAGTTTGTCATGGTCAGCCTTAGTTTATATGGAAGACGCAGGCTTGTCTCCAAACTCTTGCCAACTACGAACCGCTAACAGTCCAGCACAAATCAGAAACACACACTGCTCACTTTCTAAAACATTTTGGTTTCAACGTAAGGCACAACCTTTACTTTGAAGATTAATGGTTTCCATTATCAAATTGTGTTGCAGTTTGTTCAAGTTTCATTACAGCTCACTGGTTAGTTAGCAAATCTATGTAGACAAGTTGCCATTTTCAATCCAACAATAGGCACCCCAGCAATCTGCTTGCGACCAAAGCAATCACAAGGATGTTTTTGTGCGCAGTACCTTTTATGTGACAAGCAAACATTCACCAACTGACCGGGAAATACACATTTTTCCAGGGGGTAGTTGATGAGTATCTAGGCTTGTGTGACTGAGGCCTTGAATTGAAATTGTCAAATTATTCAACGGGTTGAATTTCTGTGCACGTTTGAACACATTTTATGGCTGTAAAACTCAAAAACAATTTCACTTTTAAATTGAAGTGTAACAAATGTGTTTCATGGAGTTTGGTCAATGTTAAGATAATTCATCCATGCCAGCTGACGCAAGACTTTAATGAGAAGAGTTAAAAGCCATTATACACACGCTAACATGCTTAGAAAGCAGTTTGATGTTGGCCAGGTATTATATTCACCTTCTTCATTCATCATATTAGATGTTAACCAGTTAGCACTAACACCAGAAACACAGCTCCACAGGTATGTCCACAGTAAGTAATTAATCCTTAATAATAACAAATATCTTCCTCAGATTTCACAGCAGTCCATAACTAAACCAGTAATAAAATGTAAAAATATGGTCCAACTTTCGAATTCTTGCAATAAATTCTAAATCAAATTTCCGCAAGCATCCTTAATATGCTACTAAAAATGATAATAAAAAGTTAATACTAAAAATGTATCTGGGTTGCCATCCTGAGGAATTTGTTTCTGCAGACAGTTTTACAGACAGAAAGATATTTGTTTGATAGTTGGGGGGAATCTCACAGAAGTCTTTAGGGAAATGCCAAAACAAGTTCTAAATGCAAGTGTTCTAGGTGTTTCAGTTTTTCCAGATAATATGTGAGAGAACTTGAAGACAAGCTGGTCTCTATCTCCCAATAACGTGGGAGTTGACTTCATTGCTTCTTTTCTAAAACAAATTGCTCCAAGCGTCCCTGTGGCTCTGCCTCCAGAACACAGTGCCAAGGATAGGACAGACTCTGCCACTGTGAAACACAGCAAAGCTAAACAAACAAAGAATAAAAAAAATGAACCGAACCAAATCTCCCCAACACAACAAAGTATCCCTCCTCCCACTGGTCCTGGGGGATCTGCAGAAAAAGTTGAAATGTTAGAGGATACACAGCTCCGATAAGGCTCTCTCACCACAGCATAACTGCACATTT